GGAGGGGTGGCGGCAACGCCGAGCGCCGCCGCGAGCAGCCACGGCGCGGCAACCTAGACAAGGATCTGGACCGCTACAAGAACGAACAGCGCGGGGGCCGCGGGCGTGGCGGCAAGCGGCAGCCTGCTACGAAGGAGGGGCTCGATGCCGAGCTTGACCGCTTTCGTGGCGGCAACTAGAAGTATTGGGGTTTGGGACAATCAACTAACAAGGCCGACGTGGCTAGATTTAATAGCAATCTGAATCGGAGGGCCTGTTTCTTCTTGTGACCGAGAAAATGTGGGCGCGTCCGTAAATCGACTTCCAACCGGTGACGTGATTTTTCTTCTTTTCTACTTTATGGTTAGAGAATGGCTTGTGGTGAAACGCTGGCGGACCGTACATTGAGCGAAGGGTGATCTCGCAGTTGGTGCTTCACTCGGCAGGATGCAACGCCAACGCTCAGGTGCCCGTTGACACAATCACAGCAGAAAGTAAGACCAGAAAGGGAATAACAGAGATAACAACATCAACAACAAGGAACAGAGATGCATTGTGTCGTGCATTGCATGGATTTCCCACACGGTGATGTACCGAACCGTTAGTTGGTGCCGCTTGGCCTGCACACTTATTTCTCTTCGCACGAACGAAGTCGCAGATGGTGATTTGACCCGCGCCACGCCTTCGCTGTGCTTCTATTTTATTCTCTCCACAAGCCTCTAACTCCACACAAACTCTCACTCTCACTTCCTTTCTTTCGGCAAGGAGCGGTGCAACGGGGTGCGGCGGGATGGCAGCAGAGATGAACATAAGAACAACCATAACGGCAGATTCAGTGCAGCGAATATTTGGGCCGCCTGCCTCCATTGACTACAGGTCACATCCGGGCGATGAGGAAACCGTGTCGCCCGCCGTTATTTTTGAGAGTATGAAGCAGAAGGAAATTGGGCCTCTGGACGACATTAGAAAGTTAAAGGGAACCGTCTACAGCTACAAAAACCGAAAAGTTATCACACATTGGCTGCGTGATGTTTGTGCGGCATTCGACCTGAAGAGCACAACCTTGTGCCTGTCTGTTCAGCTGACAGATGCTTTCATCACAAAATCTTTGGAAAGCCTTGCTCTCGAGAAGTGCCAACTTGCAGCAGTGACATGCTTGTGGGTTGCAGCGAAATTTGAAGAGATGGACGACAGCTTGCCAACACTTCGCAAAATTGTTGAAGTTTGCGACAACGCCTACACGTCAAAAGATGTTGTGGACATGGAGGAGACAATTCTAGGCTTCTTCAAGTGGCGTCTTCCACACACCACTGTTATTAATCATCTTTACTTGCAGCTGCACTTGCTAAGCAGCAATGATCTCATTAAGTGTAGCAAGCGACAAGAGGAAACAGAAACAAATTACATTTCTTTCAAGATACTTCTGATGGGTACAGATCAGTGGACATGGGGGCCATTGGAAGCGGCAGCAAACTCCAAGCTCAGTGATGTTCTCCCCCTTCTGTGCGCAGCGGCACGACTCTGCGTGTCGCACAACATTGAGGTATTTCAAGTTTTCGGTGAGAACCTCCTTGTTACTAAACGCACACCGTTGAGCGCCACACTGGGCTCGTTGCCAATCGATGAGCATGGCGAGACACGCTTATTTTTGTCTAATGGACATGTGAACCTTGTCTTTGTCGATCGTGGCTCTTACATTATACTACGCACCATTAATCAACGTTTTCTCGACCTCAGTGAGTTGCTCATTCAGGAAGTCGTCACCCACGTTGAATTTATGCAGCTGCGCAGTCATGTGACGGCTCTGGGTGTTTTGACTCTGACAATGTGCATTCTTGCCACAGACCTTGAGGAATGTAGGGCGGCCATCTCCTACGTGCAGAGGAAACTATGCATATCGGAATCCCAGGCGCTTGCAGCTGCTCGCTTGCTGTGTACCAAGTACCAAGAGGCGATGCCTACATACCGAGATGCTGTTGCATATAGCGATGTCCCCCACGACATTTCTGACCGACTGAAGTTGTGCTTGGCGTGTAAGACCGGGTAGAATATATATATATATATATATAAGACATATAATGTGTAAAATAAAATTGAAATGTTATTGACCTAAATGGCTTATTTCACCTTGTAACGAAAAAAAATAATTAAATGAAATTCCGGGACAGCCTCTTTCGCCGCTGCAATGTTCCTTTTCGCCTTCTTAAAAGAATGCTCCTTTTGCTTTTGGACCGCTAGTGATGCAGCCGCATCTTGGTCGGCAAGGGAGACTTGGCCCTAGAGTACTGGTGACTACTGGAGAAAAATCGCCGCGTGCTCTGCGACCCAAGCATACCCCCTTGTGCACTTCCCATGCGGTGTTTGGACAACGGCAAGCCACCATCCCTGCAGCGTTGTATAATAAGCGCCTACTCTCAACGGATCACCCGGCCTTTGGGACAAAAAAAGCATTTCCATCCGACGGGCCCTTTAAGGGCCCTATAAGCATATCAGGCTTTTTCCTAGCAGTCGATCCCAATTTTGCAGCGGGACCAAACGACCGAATGAACCCGAACGCTCAAATAACGGTACGAGATAGCGAGGGACAGATGTCACGGGTCCGTTATCGCTGTCATTTAGAGTCATGCACGGGTATGAAGTTAGAGGCACTCATAAGACTCCAGGTTGGGTGGATATCGCCGAAGGTGACCTTCTCTTGTATTCCGGATGTCATATTCCTGGGAAAGGGGTTTGACGTAAGTATTCCGTTCCTTATCCACTTTACAATGGTGTCGGTGCTGGACGAGCACGGTGATCGCACTGGTAGTTTTCTCTACTTTAGCGGAACCCCCATGCTTGGTTTCTCGGCAGGCTTCACGCGAATCAAAAGAGGAAAACTGGTGTTAAACCCATCGAAACGAGTGGACCCTGCGGAGGGGTCAAAGCAGTTCGTAGGCAAGGTTCACGTCAGGCAATTAGGCTTCGTCTTCCTTAAATGTCTCACATACGCTGTGTGTTTTATTGCATGTGTACCTGCCTCGCAGAAGGTTCTTCAGTGCATGCTGCCCGATCCGTTTCACCGACACAGTGAAAAGTCTGTTTGACAGACGCTAATTTCTCTGAATAGTGTAAAAGTTTTTTGGTTTCGTATATATGTTTTGTTTTGCCTGTTTTCTGGAGTCTGTTCATCGATACTTTGCCGCATGCGTTCATTCTTCCCTTTTGTCCGGAGTTTGTATTCTCGTCTTTACCCTCCTTGTTGCTATTTTTCCATGTCAAAAAACCCCACAAAGAAAAAAAAGCGTTTCATACAGAGTTTTTGCCTTTTAGATGAGAAGAACTCTGAGGGCCCTTTGGCAATATGGGATTCACATTCCCCGTGGCATTGTCTATGGTGGTGCCAAGATGAAGAACTGGCCGGAGCAGAAAATACCTGACAACTTCCAATTCACAGATGTAGAGCGCTTTAGGGCAAAGGCGATACCTCGTGATGTGGGAAAGATCCCGCGTGACTTTGTGCTTAGTGTCTTGTATCGTCACCAGCCGTGTGAAGTGAGTGGTCTATGGGAGCACTGTGCAAACGATCCCGAGATTGTTCTCGATAGTAAACGACACCTTCGCGAGGTGCTGAAACAGGCAAGGGAGGAGGGCTTTATTATGTTTGAGCGTGATTCGGTTACTAATGAATGGCTGTGCTTTATTACACGCGAGCGCTACGAAGAAGTGCGGCAAATAGCCTGTGCAAAGTCTGAGGCGACTGACGTGTATTCTGGCATGCGGGGGTCGAGTGCAACGGAAACTTCGGCCTACGCGGAACGGTTTAATGAGATGAATGCGTTGGCGAAGGAGGATCACGTGCGTCGTCTAGAAGAGGAAGTGGCGGCCACGACGAAGCACCTGCGGTCCTTTCAGCGGAAGGAAATCGACTACTTGCCCTACACGGATTTGAATGGGAAGGTGAACTTCATGTGGTGGTACGAAACACGAGACGTGAAGCCTTCAGAGGGGGACGCTCTTCCCGGAACACCGGGCGCGTCAATTGGTGCTTCGGGCGAGACAGCACGCCTCGAGCAGTGATGTGCTTTGCCTTGACCTCTGCTGATGCAGTCTGTTTCCCTTTCTTTTTTTTTTTTTGGTTTCGTGGCTTAAATCAGATTGTGCTTCGTAAATTCTCTCCTGTCGCCTCCGTACAACCCTCTACACCCTTGTGTTTCATTTGCCTCTTACCACAGAAAATGAGTGCACAAAGTGTAGCGGAGCCTCTGCGAGGGGAGGATCTGGACTTCTACAAGAACACCCTCTTCCAATGGGTGCAAGACTGTCCTATATCACTCACACCAGGCGCGGAAATGATGCACTCGTTGCGGAAGGAGCTCATTCGGGCAGAACAAGGTGACGAGTCCGCTGAATACCGGGTTGCTGTTGGCGAAATGTTTAAGGTTGTGACAGACTCCTTGATATCGGCGGCTCACCGGAGTGCGCCCTACGCCCACATTGACCGAAGCGCCCCTCGCGACTACCACGTCACACGGGACGAAGACGAATTGTTAATGGCGGACGGCATTCTTGACTCGGACGATGAAGGTGATGCGGACAGCGAGTCTGATGGCGGGGGTAAGCCATCAATGAAGGATAAAGAGCAGAGACAGCGAAAACGTGAGGAGCTGCGGAGGAAGCGTGAGGAAGAAGAGGCAATGCTTCTTAATCAAAAGAAGGTGCCGGATGATAAAGGAAATCTCCTCAACACTCTGGGACCATTTCCCGTCCCTCGCCTCACAGTGAGGGCTTCTACGTACACCTTCCCCAGTCGGAAGGCTCTGGAACAGCGCACTGCCATACCATCATCCAAGTCGTCATCGGATGATGACGAGGATGAGAACACCATGGGGAGCGCACCGTTGCCGTGCTCCTCAGGCGGTGGTGAGGCTGTGGCCCACTTGACAGCCTTCATGAAGCCACTGTCTATGGACTCGCTGAAAAAAGTCAGCGAAAGTGCCAAGGTGAAGGTAAATCCCTCATCATCGAACCGAGAGTGTATCACAAATATTGTCAAGACGGCTGTTCGGCTTGGGTGCGAAAAGGCATGTGTTCTCATGGACAAACACAAAATTATTGAGGAAATGACCAACCACGTGCAGACTGGTCCTCTTCATAGCGCAGCTAGCATCGACTTCCTACAGTCCCTTCCCGATCAACTGAAACTTGCCCTGGGTCATATGTTAGGACTCTGGGAGGAAAGTCCACCAGTAGAGGCGATGTGGGAGCGTATGGTAGCCATGGGCTTTTTGGCGGTTCTCACAAATCTCCGCCTGAAACCTCTCAAGAAGATTGCGTCGGAATTAGGGGTTTCAATGCCTGACACAAATTCCACAGAGAAATTTTGCGAGTCCATCGTATTCGCTGCTTTTCCACGGGAACGTATACGTGCAAAGAATTCTCGAGCTAAGAAGCAGAAGACTCTGAATTTTACAGTTCCGCCATCTGGGATGCGGTGTAAGGGAGATATGGGCTTCATCACCTTTCAGGTGGAGAACATTTCCATCTTACCAAAGGACAATGAACGACGCTATTCACCTGAATTCGAGTATGGTCAGTTAAAGTGGAGCCTCCTCTGCATGGCTAACAAAGAGTTTCTTGCCCTTTATTTGTGTCAGACTGGGAGCGTGTACTGCAAGTTCTTGATAACAGTGGTGAATCATGCCAACCCGGACGACTCCATCTGCAATGAAGGTACACAACGCTTTTCTACGCGTTCCCAGGAAAACGATTGGGGTTTTAATACCGTCATCAAGTTGGAGGAGTTACTCAATGTGAGAAAGGGATTTTGGACAGAGGAGGGTGACAGCATTACAATTGAAGTTGGCATCGTATTGGTGGAGGCTCCGAAACCGCTCAACCTCGCAAAGAATATGTCTAACAAGGACAAGCCAGTCGGCCCAAAGGTGGATGAAAAAGCCATGCGGCAGCTTATAGAGGATGAGAAAATGGCACAAATGAGGAAAAAGATTAAACAGGAGATCACCAAAGCCACAAAAGAGGAGGAAAAGACGAGAAAGGATATTGCACAACGAGCTAGCAAAGGATTTCATGACCTGGTTGAGCACTTCAAGAGTGAAAAGCAGCGTATCATCAAGGACCTGGCGGAGCGAGAGCGGCGTGAGCAATCGGAACGCCAACGTGAGATTGAAATAATCAAACAGGCTCAGGAGCAGAACGCGGAGATGAAACGACGCATCGAGGAGCTGAAGAAAGAAAACATCAGCCTGCTGCGTGAGAAAAAGGACCTGACACAAGAGACCAAGGACTTGAAGAAGGCAAGTGAGAAGTGTGCTCAGGAGCTGCACACCATAAATGACAAGAAGGCTGTGCTTCTGCAAAAAATCAAACAACAGGAAAAGAAGATCGCGGTTGCACAAAAACATCTGAACGACTTGAAGCAAGAAGAGCCTCCAACTCCATCATCATCAGACGATGAGGCGAATGTGAGCGATGACAGTGAGATCATGTGTCGTTTGAAAGGCACACTTGAGCAGTTCATAGGAACCGACGGGAGGGGCGTGTAAGATGCAATGCGGCGCTCCTTGTCGCACTGTGGCTCTGTGCACTATCTCTCAAGGGGGCTGAAGAGTCATTAAGCGTAAGAAACGAAA